TAAGGGTGCTACGAATTTCTTATGAACATAAAGACTTGAATTGTTGGCTCGAATCCCTATAGTTTCTGCTATGTGTAAGAGACGAGTTCGAACATAAGACAACTGAACCAAAAAGTTAGTGAACACTTTTCTTCAAGTTAGGAAAAGATACTGTCAAGCCAGTATGCAGCTCGATTTTATCACACTTGATCGATAACGGTCATATAGTAGACAGAAATAAATCATTCAAAGTTATTTATCGTAATCCTATTAGTTTTCCTTATGGTGTTCAATCTCGTCTCTTACATATGGCAGAAGCTGTAGAAATTCGAGCCGACATTCCAAGTCTTTGTACTCATCAGAAATTTGTAACACCCTTATCTCCCCCCTTGGCCTTAATAACTGGTTTTACTTATTATTATTATTATTATTATTATTATTATTATTATTATTATTATTATTATTATTATTATTTTCCATACTCTCTCTATGTTTTTCTTCACCCCTTCCTACTATTTTGTTTTTTCCTTCAAATATAAGTTTCACGATCCAATTATCTCAACACTTCTTATTACGAAATCAATAAACATCAAGAGTAAATATCCTGAAAATTTTAATTTGCTTCTTTATTTAAGCAAATTGATACTTGAATAAATAAATCTATTAATTCTAATGAAACACTTAGATATTCATTAGACTTGAACAAAATATCTAAACAATGTTATACTACTTATTAAGTATTTAAAAGAGCGAATTACGTTAATACATGATATATAAGGCCTAGATAGTTGGCTTGTTTTAAATACTCTACTGTACACCTAATTTAAAGTAAAATAAAGAGGTAATTTAAACAGATTGCTTAGTTACATTAGCTTGTTCATTAATCTCAATTATGTTACAATACGTACAATGTATTAGTGTTGTTTACATTTGTTACAAACCGAAATGAAAGAATCATAATAGGAATGTATTGTAAAATTTAAAAAAACAAACATGATCTCATTCTGTTAATCCTTAATTATATGCATATATATTTAATTACCCATTCCTATGGGAGAAAAACACACACCATATTTGAGATCTGTTAATGTTTTCAGATATTTAAACACACGATAATGAAGCATAATTATAAAAGTTTTGATAATATGTCAATCATCAATGTATAGATGTCATTATTAGTTAAGGTCAGGATAGATTAAGTGAACAACAAACTAATGTTTATTATCAGTATGAAGATTGGGAAGATTATTAAATTTTTTCTATTAAGATCATGAACCGATTAATGTTAAACCACCGTTGGAAACCTTGAAGCACTGGACGGACGTTTCGTCTTCAGCAGTGCACATCCACGACCCTGCTCACGGTATTCGAACTCAGAGCCTTCAGGTTCGTGTGCGAACGCTTAACTTACTGGACTATTAAGCCAACATCCACGAAATGGATTGGTTGATGTTAGACACTAACACCATTGGATGTCGGCTCAGTGATCTAGAAGGTTAAGAGTTCGCGCGCGAGACTGAAGGCTGTTTACTTTTATTTTCTGATTATTCTGACTAATTCTTGTCCGATTATTGAATAACATTATTACTGTATATATATATCGAAAAGTCTAAAAATGACTGTTTATAAATATAACGAATCTTTTTCAAATAGAGATTGATGTTATCAAGAAACATTGTTTAGTTTCAAAAAAAGTATCCTTTGGATAGGTTTAATGAAAGTGTTCAATTAGTAATGTTTATTACTTGGTGAACATTCAAGGAACAGAAATTATAAACGAAAATGTTCTGTCATACAGCTTTTAAAGTTGTTTAATAAATTTTTAAGAAAAAATATATTCAATGATTACTGCAGTGTATCTATCTCAATTATTTCCAACTTTCTTATTTGAAAGACCTTTAAATCACTTTCTAGTTTATAAAACAACTGTTCAAATGATGGGGTTACATGTAACACCTGTTTCCTGGAATGTTGAATTCTTTCACTTAGTAACATAAGTATTGATAATTCTAAAAAAATATTAATGTGCTAAATTACATTGTAACAGCTGTTATTAGTACTGTATATTACATCTCTCCATTCCTTTATGACATGAAATAATTGTCTGTCGACCTGTTTTTATTCAATTATTATGACATCGATAATTCCTGGTTTTTTTAGGAGTGTTTTAGATTATCTTGAAGACTATATCACTGAAGTGATATATTACTTCAAGCATGCATATAGAAGCAAATGATTGCGATAAATTAAATATTCAAGTTCTAATTTTCGTACCCAGTTAAATAACTATCGAAAATCCACTTCTTTTTATTTGTTTAAATTGTAAGATATGTATTACAGTAAATTAATAATTGAGAAATTGGGAGTCTTTAGTGTCGATTTCTATGCTAAGCACATATAGCTTATTCTGGTTATCAGATAAGTCAAACTATTCATTCTTCTTGAGTCACATTTCGACTATTTTAATTATTGGCTTATCAACCGTGACTGTTTTTACGTGATCGTATGAATGTGCATTCCTTATCTTAATCATCATATTTTTGTAGCCTAATTTTAGTGTGGCTATAAATATCGATTCACGCTTAAGTAAATAGAGGTGACATATTCACCTTCTCCATTTTCTCGTCATTCTGTTTTACTGCGCTTTCCGATCAACGATTGTATAAAATTCATGCGTCAATCGAAGCTAGACCACCACGAAAAACCTGGAAAAACTGGGTGGCCGTTTCATCCTAGTATGGGACTCCTCAGCAGTGCGAATCAACGATCTCATTTCGCGAGACTCTAATTCAGGACTTATCAGTCTTTTATGTTTCTTTGAAAACTAAAATCTAAATGATTTGTCTGCATACCTAAAATTTTTATTGTGAATACTTTAATAATTATTTCTTTAAATACTAAACTATTTTGTTGGTAAGGTTCGTTGCTTTTTCACAGAAACGATTATTACTTTTATCTAAATGCTTTTTTTATGCACGGCATGGATGGAATACAAAAGATGCGGTTTGAAAAATGTACATGTAACCATAGAAATTAGGTTTAAATGTTCAATGAGATAAAAAAACACGAAATAACCATAGACAATACAAACTTAGGTCATATGTTTCAGAACATCTTACAATTTCAAAGTGAATTCATTTCATATCTTTTGCCATCACGAAACAATTAGTGCAAGTTTTAACAAATTAACTAACCACCTTTTCTCAGAAAGGGGTTTTTGTGAATACTGTAGTATCAATACTATAGTATTAATGAACCTGCTACTTGTTTCTGAACCAAAGACCTTTGGTCTCTAAGGAGGAGAATTAATCCTTAGTCACTAAGTCTAAATCTAACAGTGTATACGCTTTACTTCAATCGGTCCTTAGTATTGACCCACTATCTTCAGTCGCCCTGCATGGATAACAATCTCCACAACCCCCCCTTAGTGACAGTCATCATGTGCTAACTAGTTATTGGATTCGGGAGAAATTTTCCGAATGGAGTCCTGTGAGAGGTTACCCATTGAAAACAACTAAAGATGGTCTCCCAGTATTAAGGAATGGCTGAAATTAGAAGTTCACACATTTGGATCCAGACTCAATAATTTACGGTTACGTCTTCATTTGTGAGACCTAAGAGCTTTGATTCAACCACAGGTAGAGGGATTGTTGATTTTCATTTCTGAAGAAACCTACATTGAAATGAAACAACTGTCTATTGCTTCCAAGTTTTCATTGGTTGTTTACCTTAAATTCATTTGTGATGATTATGAAATTCAGCAGTCTCCACAATCTCTCTGTCGTTGATGATAAACTTTTAGGAAATATTCCCGTTCTCAGCCAAAACTAACCGGGGAAAATGTTTCAATTCTTTATTATATCGGTAATATGTGAATAAATATAAGGCAAACATTTCCAAAGTGATGAAGAATTGAAGTTATGACAGTGTAGTGAACGAAGATTTGATGGGGATAACCAATTTATTGCAAAACCATAAAGTGTTTTGATAAAATATGAAAATTATGCATTCCTTCAATTATCCTTTACATGCTTCATGATTCCTTTAATTCTATTGTTATTACAATTGCCCTCTGTTTTCCTTTTTGTCCTCTTCAATTCACTTTTCTCAGTCTTCTGCTGTCAGGCATTCCATTTCTGATTGGTGTTACATACATACTACACCACATTGTTACTATCACGATATACACAACAACGATATACACAACGAAAATAATAATAATTATTATTATTTGGACCTATGCATGTTTATTTCATAATTCCTGTTATATGCTTGTCATGGCAATGTTGATAAGTACCTATTTATATATGTATATACCGTATTATTCTTTGATGGATTTAAAAAAGTCAATTGTAACTCCATTTTTTTAAAATAAAGTTTCCATAGTTCATAACATTTACATGAGGTATTAAAATTTCTATCACTGTCAACTAAATATTAGGAATATTTTTGAAATCACTAAGTTAGTTCCGTCTACTGGATTACCATAGATATGTGAGGATTTATTATAATAATCAAGTATAAGTTTATTTACTAAAGAGACGGTAATTAATTATTATTTACAAATAATAGAGATTTGTAATATCCCAATGAGTAGAAAAATTAAATTTTCTGACGTTTCGTGACTTAGTGTAAGTCACTTCTTCAGAGAATAAATCACCAAATTAAAATTAATCCAAGTTTAATTTGGTGATTTATTCTCTGAAGAAGTGACTTACACTAAGTCACGAAACGTCAGAAAATTTGATTTTTTTACTCATTGGAATATTACAAATTTATTATTTATTTATAACAATCAACCCAATGCTCAATTTATTCGAAATTATCAAATCAAATCTTGGTAATGATACCTGCAATTATTATTTACGTTCATTATTATTATAACCATGAGATGTCATTGCACACAAAAAACAATATTGTTCATTTAGCTATTTCTTTCATAAATATATTTTCTTTGGTTTTCTTTTTTCGTTTCAGCATACACAATTTATTTTCAAAGACAATAAAATTTAAATTAACACATGAGTGAACTCAATCTAGAATTGAAAAGACCAATTGTTATATGTGGTCCATCAGGATGTGGAAAAAGCACTTGTATAAGAATGCTTATTAATAGATATCCGAATTCTTTTCGTTATTGTGTATCTCGTAAGTATATTATTACTGTTTATTAATATAAAAAAATATAACACATGTTAAATTACTTATCATTTCTTATATTGACGTTAGTGAATCACAGGGAATTATTGAATCCATTCTGATTTCAAATAGGAAATCGCTAAAAAATAAAGGAACATTAACCGTCAGTATTGAACAAGTTCAGAGTTACTAGTTGAATGTCTAAATGATAACTTGATTTGAAAGTATTATTGTCTTATGATCAAAAGATGAGTTATAATCGGTATACCTAAACACTTTGTATAACTTTATGGTATCATTAGAAATTATGAATTGACCTAGCTAATGTATTATTAAACTGAAAAAGATAATTTCACAGATTTAAATCGTGAGTCAGTTGAAGCTAGACCACCATTGAAAACCTGGAAGCACTGGACGGCCGTTTCGTCCTAGTATGGGACTCCTCAGCAGTGCGCATCCACGAAAAAGATATATCTGACTCTTTTTCTTTGATATAACGATCATATTTAAATAATTAAAGTGTATCAGGTCATTATAAATATATATTTATTTAAAGGATTAATCAGATCCATCCTTCTGTAAACATTATCACTATTCACTTGTTTGTCTTTTATTATTTGAAATTGGCCTTAAGCAATCACTTTGAAGTTTCACTTACCTATTATTGTTTATGTAATATTCGTATAATTATCGGTAACGATCCAACTGTTCTTTATTCTTTCCTTTGATACAAAAAAACCCTGTTTCACTGAAGTAGAAAATTTTCTTTTTTGCTCTTCTGTCATTCGGTCAAAACACACATCTTGATTGTTTTATTATATTTTAACTAATCCGGTTGTTGATCATCTAAATTAATCTATTTTAATTGGTATACAAATGAATTTTTTATTGAGCATGATTAATAAAGTAGTATGTTTATTCAATACTAGGAAAAAAAAACACGATTAAATATGAAATTAGATAGGGTAATCGTTTGTTTGATCAGTTCATTCTTGCTTATATATTGTAAGTTATTTGTTGTTGATAGAAACAGAGTGTCAGACTTATTAAAAGAGAAAATGAGAATTTCAATAAGAAGTATTGAAATATATTAAAAGACTAACTTTGAGGATAAAGAAAAATATAGATATTCAGGAACCTGATTGCTGAATATCAGAATATAGTTAAAAATTGGAATCTAATTAGTATGAGAAATAGAGGAACCTTATTTGACATAGTGTTTAGATTGATTGTAATTAACCATCCAAACAGTTAACGATAATAGATGAGTTATTCTAGGGAACTTCATATGCCAATGTCTACACTTATTGAAATGCTCAATGCTTAAACATAAAGGGCCATGTCAAATGACATTTCTAAACACTCAAATATATCTATCTATCTATCTATCTACCTATATATATTATCAACTGTTTACATAGATTTAGTTGTAAAGTCACAGGTTAACTAGTATGTAAACAGTAAAGTTTTCAACCCACTTTTCTACTAGGGGTTTTGTTCAGGCTTAACCTACCTGAAGAGAATGCAAACATTATGATTTATAAATTAAAATCTTAGATAAAGGTATAAGGCTATCAGTGATAAAATCACCAAAATTGGTGTTAAATGATTATACATAAATCCTTGAAACCATCAGTAAATGATTATGATTTAGTTTAGTTGTTTACATAATGTGTTTGACATTAATTAACTTATAAGTACTGAAGTATAGAAGTGATTTTATTCAATTGTCGTTTTAGTTGCATAGTTTGCTGTCACCATTAGCAACGTATAATGAATAGTTGGAATGTATTATAACAGCAATATAAAAATCTAAACAACATTGTAAATTTATTTGTGTCAGTACCTCAAAGTATTCATTTGAATATGGTAACAAATTCGTTCAGCATACTTTCCTCCTTTTACAATTCATAGATCTTGATTTTTCTGAAGTCATTGAATGTGATGATTTCAGAGTAAACTTCATATCTAGTTTATATCTGATAAACAAGTTCATAAGCTGTATTTTGAGTCATTGTGGATTTATTTAGAAAAAAAAAGATTCTAAGCATTGAAACATTTGATTATTCAACATTTAATTACATATTATACCAATGAATTTGAAATTCTATTCTTCTTTATTATCAAAAGATTTGGTTACTTTTGAGTTAGCTAGTGATTATTTATTGATTTTTTAAATATTTTTTTTTATTTTAGATACCACTCGACCCAGACGTCCAGATGAAATTCATACAAGAGGTGAATCCCTTTTAATTCAAAATAATAGTCATGAAATAAACAAACAGATAGTTACATATTACATGTTTGTGTTAGCAATTTAATGTTCGTGACAAACTAATGACTTTTTTTTTATATTGTTGTTTACCTATCAGTGAATTATACAGGTGTAACAAAAATCACATTTAAGGATTGTTGTTTTATTTTCATGGATATTGACTGGTTGTATGGTAGAATTAATAAGTATTAATTAATAACAGTCCTAAGTTCTCAAAACCAGGTAACAGATTTAATGTTAAATTAGAGAATGTCAATATTTTATACTGAACGCTAAGGTAATCTCAAGTTATTTACTTTCTGTAAAAAGTGTTAGTTCTTTCTTGAAATGATAATTATAAGTTCTGGAGTGAACATCAAGTCTCGGATACAGGTATATCCATCTGACGAGTTCTGGAATCCACTGCTAGCCATTATCCATCTTTACTTATAACCACAAGAACAGCTCCTTTAATTTACATTTTCGCATGACTTTTGAAGTTTCTCCACATATTGTTACTACTTTCAGTGCATCAATTGCTTTGTGGTCAAGGGTCACGGTTGGTTAATTTATATGAAGAGTTGTTTCATATGAATTTGTCTTTGTTAGGTATCACGTTTTCTTCTGCATTGCGATATGTGTTTTGGAGTTCTATCGTGAGGGATTATTACTGAGGAGTTGTGTGTATCAGTTTTCTCCTTTTGGAGTTCGAAATTCATCCAGCTAGTGATAGAATCGTCTTAAATGTTCGTAAACAGCAATCAATATAGCTAAACAAAACAGTTCTTTGTAACAATAAAGATGTAAAATAAATCGAGAGCATTTTATTTTCAGGATAGTTATTATATAATTCATAACCTATTTCTTATAAATTATGATCGCTTATCAATTTAAATGAGGAATTCAGTTTTTCGAATTAGTTTTTATGCTACGTAACTTGAGAAATACTGAACTGAAACTGTTAGTCTTTTTCAAAACTGCTAAATACTTGTATTTCTAAAGATTAGTGTATTTTAGTAAGTAGTTTAAGAAAATTTGTCTAGTTTGAAAAAAATGTTTCACCAAGACCTGACTTCAACTGAAAATTCATTATAAAAGAAAGGTTTGTAATCATTCAATTATTACTATTTTGTAAGTAAGTAACCTAAGTATGTAGATAGTGCATGTGTAAAATCGAATTTTTTAAGGATGTTACCTTTTAAGTAGCATAACAAGGAAGCACTGAGTTTTAAAAATATCGAAATATTCCTTTACTCTTAGCATTATAACTTTTGTAGCATAAATTCGACATTGTAGTTGAATAATACCTTTATTTTAATTTAGTGAAATATATAGGATGTAGAACCCGTATCATATGAATTTCCGGTCAAAAGCTTGATAACATTACGGTTCGGCTTTAGTTTAACACTTACTAAAAATCAGGTTCTATTGTTGGACTCTTTAACTATGTGAATCTATGAACCCACTGGAGTTCGGACTGCGAGAGTCTCGTATTCATACTACTGAGGCGGCATTTATTGATTTGTATATCAAAAGTCAATTATTTCGTATTCCTGAGCAACAATCTACTTAAATTTAAGTGGCTGTATAACTAAAGTCAGTACATCATGTAAATCATAAAATGACCATCTTCATGAACTCCTGTACGTAATACCTTATCATTCTCTTTTTAAGAATGGTATGTAAAGCTGTAAAAGTAAGAGCGATGAATTTGCTGTATTGATTTCTTCATCTATCTAGTGAAGTTATAATTCATAATTAACTAAAAATTATCTAGAAAGATATTACAATGCGATACAACGTCAAATATATTTCATATAGCGTCACCACTGAAAATCTGGAAGCACTGAACTTATATTTCTTCTTAGTATAAGATTCCTCAACAGTGTGCATCCATCGTTTCTGAAGCATTAGCTTTTGATTTTTATATTTCTTACTTGGTTTTTCCAGTTAACTTCGGTCAAAAATGTTTGTATTCGACTATTTACTATAGTTAGGTTAGTAAGATACGCAAAACTACTATTATTTATAATACAGCATTTCCACTGTTAAAACTCAGTTGCAGACAAAGTCGTTTTATAAAGAATAAGAACCCAATCACAAATTTAACTAATTCATTTGTATGAACCATACTTGCGAAGATTAACAAATCTAACTCAATAAATTGATTATTTTATAATTTCATATTTTTCTGTTAAGTTGAAATCCTTTTATCATCTATTTTTATGCAATACCACTGTTTAACAATCTTTTAGATAGATACTATCTTCTAGCTTAGTCACAATCTCATGATTAGATTGAATGGTGTTTATCGAAATTTGTTATTTTAATATGCAACATATCATTCTACCTAAAGTGATCTTTCGTTATTGATTTTAAATGCTGTATGAAGTATGCTGATAATAACAGACAACAATTCATGTAAATAGGAAGAGAGTTTAGAAACCAAGGTTACCAATGATGGAAATATTCAACGTTTACAGACTGATATTTGAATAGATTTTAGAAAATAAGTCTTGATAAACTGTTAATTACTAAACTATTCAAGTGTTTTTATGACAAGAGAAAATAAGTTGTCTAATGTACAATTTGGTATATCATAGTGGAAAATGTATAATTTTACTACAGACAAAAAAAAATTAGATCAAATAGGACTGAACTAACTAACTAACTAACTAACAAAACATTTCAAAATGAATTATTGTCAAAATTCTAGTCATTTTATTGTCAAGGGGAAACTTTTTAGTTAACAACAAACTGACAAATGGTGGGGTTGTAAAACAAAATGAATAAAAAAAATAGACATGCGAAAATACGAACTCCCCACCCCCAAGTTTTTAAAAAAAAATTTTATTCTAACTTGTTAAGTATACTAAATAATAAGTAGTTTGTTTGATGTATTTTTTGTTTGTTTTGTTTTGTTTGAAAAAACCTATTTCAAACAAAAAATCAATACGAGTATTTTTATGAATATGAATTTTCGTTATCGATTTTTAATAAATGAGAAAGAATAAGAATTGAAGAAACAAACGACATAAACTATTGTTCGTTTTAAAGTATACATTTTTCATCTTTGAAAGATCTTTGAATAGAGGTGGTAAGTAGTAGGGTTATAAATGTCTAATTAATCTCTTACTATGGATTTATTAGAAAAACATTATTTTGATCAAACATAATTCATTTCTATGCTTCAAATCTATCAATATTTTAAACTCTTTAGTGAAGCGATCAGGAATCATCTCTATAGAAGTTCATGTCAATGTTTTAACCTACTCTTAGGTATAATAAGATACAGTTATTTCATCTTACTTTGCTTTAGTCGTTATGCTCGCTATACTAAAACTCATAAAATGAAGTAATTATGTTACAGTGAATTGATTTAGCGATTTTGACATAATACGGTAACGAAATTAGCTTCACATGATTGGGAAACCATGGTTTCTCAATAGAATCTTATTAGTACAGGGGAGTTTTGGAGGTTGTAGAATTTTAACAGTTTTAATCGTCAACTGATTTTAGCTAGACCCCCAGTGAAAACGTAGAAGCATTGTGCGGCTCAATGGTTCAGAGATTAAGAGTTTAAGTGTAAAACCCATGGTCTTGAGTCCGATTCTCAGGTACGGGGTCATGGATGAGCATTAGGAAGGAGTCTCATATTAAGGCGAAATGGTGGTCCAGTGATCCGACGTTTTTAATGGTAGTTGAGCTAAGGTCATTTCATGATTTGAGCTGTGAAAATAGTGTACTACTATATAATAAGTAGAGAAAATATTGTTCAAACGTCGACGTCCACTGACAAGCGTTTTGAGTGAAAATATATAAAATAAAGTAGTATATTAAATTTTTCTTGCAGATTATAACTTTGTGTCAAAAGAAGAATTTGACGAAGCAATAAACAAAGACGAATTTATTGAATACGTAATGTTTTCTGGACATTATTATGGAACAAGGTAAGAATTTACAAAACTTAGTCATGCAGATCATTAAAAACTTGTTGCTTATGTATTTATTCATCCCACATATAAATGGATGCTCTAGATTGTTTTTAAAAATGGTGACAACAATGTACGAATACTGCCTTTCTTAATAAACTTAGTAATAGTAATTGAATTTATGTGTATGGGTAATTTGAATATTCCAAATCGAAATGTTATATCGTTAGCTAGTAGCTGATAACTAATCTGAAAAGTTTATGTGGATAACAAAGTTTAATGTGATGGGATAATTATATGTACCTTTTGTGAATCCTTTTATAATATACGTATGTCAACAGACACTGAACAGTTGCAGTCAATAACATCAATTAACATAAAAAAAAACAAACCCTTCCAACTAGCATTTTATTAAAGCTTACTGTAAATATTACAGATACGTGTTGAGGTCTACTGATGTAGAGACTGCTGCTACACTAGTTGTCTTGTCCCGCATTTGTTGGTGTGTATGGGATAGAAGAGCTAAGTCATCTGTGAAGTCCAGATTGTCTAGTTGATTCCGAGCTGTCTATTGTCTTCCGTGCTTCCCGTCAGATGCGGCGGTCTTCATAATCCAGTCAACCACCAGAAGGAAGAGAAAGGGGGGAGAAAGCGGCATTGTCTGATGATTTCACACTGCAAGCAACTTAATTTACTGGATGAAAAACCAACTTGTGAGGACCATTCTTTCAAAACGTTGAGTCTGGTCATTGATGTACCATTGATGAATTCATTCTTCATAAAAAACTGAGTATCAATTAGAGGTGATTATGGATTATAAGAAAGCAAAATCGCTCTTTAGTTTAACAATCGTGGAGGAACATAAAAGTTTCGAAACAATTTTAATATGTTTTATTGCCAATCCTAGTCATATCTTGTGCTTTAGATATCTAGATATTATTACCCGAAACCAGTTGTACCATTTCGTCATTTTCAGTCAGCCTTTGTATTTAATGATTTCTCAAACCTTCCAAACCTTAAGATTATTGTCACTGAAAGTCCTCTTTACATTTACAATTTATTAATTAGATCATAACAAATGTTGAATGTGATGAAATAAATCAATGAGATAGTGTGATTTGTAGCTTAGTATGACAAGTAAATTATCTTCCCTTATAAAGAGGAATAAAGTGATTTATAAAACGCTTACTATATACATCATCAACTTTTCCATCGGAACGTAGATTTGTTTGTGTGACTTATGGGATTTCAATTATTCACAGTGAAATATTCAATTACATTTTAACTAACAACACTATAGATGATATAACAAAAGTCTTGAAACAAAAAATGCTACCTGCTTAGGTTTCATATGCTGAATATGAAATGTATACAATATACAGTTTAAAATTGATTAGTATCGCATTTATTTTCTTGACGCCAACTTATTCACAGAATAGATCCTTCCACTGGGAAAAGAATTAAGTCAAGTCAAAAAAGCAATTTTTACCTGTTATGCTATTGGGATCAAGAAATATTATTAATTTTTTAACCTAAAATTTATGTTTCAACAAGTATTTAAAAAGTTAGGGAAGTTACTTCAGTAAGCTAGATTTCTTATATGCAACTTATTAATGAAATATTTTAGGAATTTATTTAGAAAAAATACGTTTGTAATGTCATTTGTACTAATCGTATTATGTTAAAGTTTCTGATTTATATTATTATTATTATTATTATCTTTGCTCTAATGCTGTCCAAAGTAGCACAAAATACACTTGTAGAATGGGAATCTCACGGATCCAGAATCATCAAAGCATCATTCAAAACAAAGAAGGAGGGGATCACAATGAATATTATCTAATGTTATGCACCCACAAATGATAGCAACGACGACATTAAAGATCAGTTCTACGAGCGGCTGCAGTCAGTCATTGAGAAATGTCCAACAAAGGACCTCACAATTCTGATGGGAGATCTAAATGCCAAAGTCGGAATAGACAACACCGGATATAATGATATCATGGGACGACATGGACTGGGAGAGAGAAACGAAAATGGGGAAAGATTTGCGAATCCGTATGCATTCAACAAATTGGTCATAGGAAGCACAATATTTCCACACAAACGTATAAACAAAGCTACATGGAACTCACCGGACCACACTACAGAGAACCAGATAAATCATATCTGCATCAATAAAAATTTTCGAAGGACAATGGAAGATGTGAGAACCAAGAGAGGAGCTGATATAGCTTCAGATCACCACCTAGTTGTGGCCAATTTAAAACTGAATCTAAAGAAAAACTGGACAACTAGATAACAGCACTACAAAGGTCTAATACTGCCTTCCTTCGAGATACTGACAGACTCAATGAATTCAAGATAGCTCTCAACAACAGGTTCCAAGCCTTACAAGATCTACTGAAAGAAGAAGAAACTAGTATAGAGGACAACTGGAAAGGCATCAAAGAAGCATTAATTTTAACGTGTCAAGAGGTTCTGGGCCTCAAGAATCACCAACGTAATGAATGGATCTCGATAGAAACACTGGACAAGATAAAAGAAAGGAAGAACAAGAAGACAACAATTAACAACAGCCGAACACGAGCAGAGAAAGTTCAAGCACAACTGAATACATAGAAGCAAACAAGCAAGTGAAGAGGAGCATTAGAGCCGACAAGCAGAAATACGTGGGAGAACTAGCAACGACGGCAGAAAAATCTGCAAGAGAAGGAAATATGAAACAGCTTTAAGATACAACGAAGAAACTAGCAGAGAAATATAGTAAACAAGAGAGACCGGTCAAAGACAAAGAAGGCAGGCCAATCACTGAAATTCAACAACAGCGGAACAGATGGGTAGAATACATCAAGGAACTCCTGAACAGGCCGGCTCCAATGAATCCACCGGACATCGAAGCGGCACACACAGATTTTCCCATAGACGTCAACCCACCAACGAAGGAAGAAATCAGGATGGCCGTCAGACAAATCAAGAACAGGAAAGCAGCGGGTCCGGACAACATACCAGCTGAAGCACTGAAGTCAGACATTCGAGTAACTACAAACATGCTTTACCTTCTATTCAAAAATATTTGGGAGGAGGAACAAGTGCCGATGGACTGGAAAGAAGGGCACCTCATCAAGATTCCAAGGAAAGGAGATCTGAGTGAATGTGAAAACTACAGAGACATTACACTACTGTCAATACCAGGGAAAGTCTTTAGCAGAGTGTTGCTGAACCGGATGAAAAACGCAGTAGACGCCCAACTTCGAGATCAACAAGCTGGATTCCGTAAGGATCGGTCGTGCACAGACCAAATTGCAACACTACGGATCATCGTCGAACACTCATTTAAATGAAACTCAAGACTGTACTTCAACTTCATTGATTATGAAAACGAATTCGACAGTGTAGATAGGAGAACGTTATGGAAACTTCCTCGACACTACGGAGTTCCTGAGAAGAGTGCCGACGTTATCGGGAACTCATGCGACGGACTACAGTGCAAAGTCGTGCATGGAGGACAGCTGACAGACGCATTCCAAGTAAGGACCGGAGTCAAACAAGGCTGTCTACTCTCTCCCTTCCTCTTTCTTCTGGTGGTCGACTGGATTATGAAAACCTCTACATCTAAGGGAAAACACGGAATACAATGGACAGCTCAGAATCAATTAGACGATTTGGACTTCATAGATGACCTAGCTCTCCTATCGCATACACATGAACAAATGCAAACAAAGACAGCTAGTGTAGTGCAGTCTCTACATCAGTAGGCCTCAACATACACGAGGGGAAAACCAAGGTCCTCAAATACAACACGGAGAACAGCAATCCAATGACTCTTGATGTAGAAACTCCTTCACATACCTGGGAAGCATCATCGATGAACAAGGAGACTCAGATGCAGACGTAAAGGTGAGGATTGGCAAAGCAAGGGTTGCATTCCTACAATTGGAGAACATATGGAACTCAGAACAACTTTCAACCAATATCAAAGTGATAATATTCAATACCAACGTCAAGGCAGTTCTACTGTATGGAGCTGAAACTTGGAGAACTACTACAACCATCATCAAGAAAGTTTAAGTATTTTAAAGATAGTTGTCTACGCAAGATACTCAACATCCATTGGCCGGATACCATCAGCAATAGCCTTCTGTGGGAGAGAACAAACCAACTTCCAGCTGAAGAAGAAATTAGGAAAAGACGATGGAAATGGATAGGACATACACTACGCAAATCATCAAACTCCATCACGAGACAAGCCCTAACTTGGAATCCTGAAGGGAAACGGAAAAGAGGAAGTCCAAAGAACACATTACGTCGGATAATAGAAGCAGATATGAAAAGGATGAATAGGAACTGGAAGGAGCTGGAAAGGATTGCCCAGGACAGGGTTGGATGGAGAATGCTGGTGAGCGGCCTATGCTCTTTCACGAGGAGTAAAAGGCGTAAGTAAGTGAGTAAGTAAAAGGACCCGCATATTTTGTCTGTTAGTCATACCAAATAGAGTGATCAATGAAGAATAATTGATACTATTCCGTTAGTGTTCTTTTTAGCTTTGTTCTTCTCACTAAGTTTGGATCGTTAAACCTAAGTTCAGTTCTCCTGCTTTATCTGAGTTTTAGACCTTCAATAACTCTAGAAATGCTTCAGGTAGAGTTGAATGAGAACTAAGACTACATGATTTAATAAAGTAAACAAAACAGTCAAGTTTCATCATTGTCATAATTATTTGTGTGTTTATATGTTTATATTTAGGACTATTTTGTATGCAAATCATTTATTTGTTTGTATTAAATATTTTTTTTAAAAATCAGTAAAGCTGAATTGAAAAAAGCTGAATTGGAGAAACGTGTCTGTTTAATGGATGTCGATATACAAGGTGTTGAAAAGTTACAGAAAACAAATATTAATCCACTTTGTATTTTTATACGTCCTAGAAGTTTTGCTATACTTGTAAGTTGAATGTTAATATCAAAATGACAGTTATTATATTCTATTAAGTTATAAGCTGAATAAAATCTAAATATACTAAATGTATTAAGGGACAGTCTGTTGATGACATTTTATACTTTTCTACAATGTTAAGTTTCTAATATATAACTTATTTAAAACGTAAACCAAGTTTTTTAATCACTAATGTTCTTATCACAGCTTCAGATGTTTTCACAAGAACTAACAGTATCAACATTTAGTATTTGAAATAAAGGTCACATGTCTTTTATTTTTAAATAGGTGAAGACTGTAACAGAAATCATCAATTAAATTGGAAGATCATTGAGCATCATTGGATACGAATCTATGCTTTGAAGGTTGAATACTCTCATGAGATATGAAGGTTCTAGATTTAATTCTTCATAGTATCATAAATAAATATTACCAATGGATACCAAACTAGAACGAAACAGATGTCCAGTGTTCCGTCGCTTTCCATGATAACCCATTCACAGACAAATACTTTGTTATAAATTTGATTAGTTATTGAATAATTAACCTATATATATATATATATATATATATATATATATATATATATATATATATATATATATATATATATACAAGCATTTAATGATTTAAAGATTTGTATTTCAGTCATTCAGTAGAACGGATTCAATAGAAAGCCATGGGAAAAAGGGTTGACTCTGGTTGACATTTGTTATCAAGGCTTAGAGGCAGTCATGAAAGAGCAGATGATTTTCATGAGAATCAAATTTACTTCATGCAGTGTCATAGATGGGGATCTTACTGATAGACTATCCGGACTATAGTTGTGTGTGTGTAAGATAGTTATCTACCACGAGCAATGGATGAAGGTTGATGATCACTGCAAATTGATTTAAGGTTAAAAATATATTAACATTAAATATCGACTCAGTGTTCCAGATGTTAAGCGTTGGTGAGAGAGATTGAATGTCTTAGGTCCAATTATTGAGTGTAGAGCCGTGCACGCCCACTTCAAATGTTTCCAATTGTGATTTAGCTAAAGTCAATTCGTGATATAAACCTTAATGAAGAATTGGTTTTGAAAACAAAACAGACTGACAGTTCAAATAACACGAACCCCATAAATGAATTCTAATTGACGCATGAAATATAGAGGTATACATATTTTTGACATAATGTTAATCATAATTGACATTGATTATTACTATATTTTGGGAGTACTTATCAGTAGAAATTAACCTCTTTATTTGTTATATCTTTTCATTTGTTAGGAGAAACGATTAAGATCTCGTTCTACAGAAAGTGAAGATAGAATTCTTCAACGTCTTGCAGTTGCACATCAAGAAATGCAGTATGGTAGGTTATCAGTAAATACATTTTCAAGTATTTAAAATAGTTATGCAAATTTTCCACTTCTAAAATATCCATATTCAGAAAATGTCACATAATGTGTCAATTTATTGAAATTTAACGAAATCTTATTACTATAACTGTGACGGCAGCAGATCAGAGGGTAGCGAATTATCGATCGGACCAAAGACGCGGAAACACGTACAACGGCCTAGGGTTCTGATTGGTCCCGCTTCCCTGTCTAGCCCAGTCAGTTGAGTCCAGAACACAAGTCACAGCCTCTGAGATATGAATCATTATATTTCAAACACACTCTGTTTATATACTAATCAAGCAGACCACATCGTACGATAAAATAGAAAATAACATTGTACAATATCAACCAGTAGGAAAATGACACGTGAAATAAGTACTGACCAATAAGTAAATAATACCATCTCCAAGTCCAAGAATAGCTTTAGACTTAATAGGATAATTTTTGAAATATTTTCCTGAATATTCCAACACTTATAACAACAATATTGTTTCACGCTCGATTTCAAACTTCACGACAATATACAAATTTAAAGGATTTTATATTTCCAACTTTCTGGCTACTGGTTTAATAGTAGTATTGTAGTAAACAAGAACACGGTTGGGGGCAAACGGATGTATTTAGAACAACAATTACAGACTATCTCAATAAAATCTGAATACCATAAAGTCAATCGTCAATTTGCAAAATATCAATGCATCATATCAAACTGGACTGTTTCCGTTGCAAACACTAATCCATTGTCTCCCATTCCATTGTACATGCGTTTTCTTACAAATTCCATTGTGTTCTCGCTCTAGCTTTCTTGATCTTCGCCATATTCCGCTGCCAGACATTACGTTCTTTTAACGCATGTTATATACTACTTATATCAATATAAGTAGCTCACACCACAGTATGAGATGCATATTTTGAAGTAACACACGGAACAAAGACTTCTGTTCCAACATTTTGATTTTTAAAAAAGAGAATGATATAAATATCGGCTTGTAAATGATATTAATCAAACCTTATTATGCACACTCGATACATGTGTATCACTACTTCGTCAAATAAAAACAGAAAACCAAATATACATTACATAAGGGCTTGTAAATAGCTGATTGAATAGTAAACATTCTAGTATTTTTATTTTGTCAAAGTAACAGTTGTCCCATCCTATATACCATGAAGTTCGATCATGTTGCGCCTTAGACAGATATCATCGATGGCAGCGTATGGTTATTTCGTAATATCACGAACCGATTGAAATTTAAAATGTAAAACATTGAATATCAACTTGTTGGTTTGAGTGTTGAAACCTCCCCAGTATAACTGAAGTTCATGTATTCGATTTCTAGTGTACCTCTGGATGCGGACTGTTGAGAATTACCGTATAGGGATAAAGCAACTTTCCGGTTCTTTTCGATTCTTAGTGGTTGTCTATCTAATACCAGTCCATGGTGTAGGACCGCAAACTCAACAATTTCACAACACTTTTATATTATCAGTATGAGCTTGTGAAGATTACCATGTTTTTTACTGAGATCATGAACCGATTGATATTAGACCACTTTTGAAGATCTTAAAGAACTGGACGGCCATTTCGTCCTATGGTGGGACTCCTTAGCATTGCGCGTCCACGATCTCGCTCACGAGATTCGGACCCAGGACCTATCGGTCTCGCGCGCGAACGCTTAATCTCTAGACAACTCAATCGGCCTCAACCTCAACCAATCCACGAAATCGCGCAAAGTTAAGCGTTGGTTCATTGGTTCGAATCTCACGAGGCTTGATCGTGAATGCGTCTTGCTGAGGAGTCCCACACTAGGACGAAACAGCTGTTTAGTGCTTTCAGGCTTTCCATGGTGGTCCAGATTCAACTGAATCATGATCCCAACTATTGAAATTCATATAGTAATGCATTAATCCATATTTTGATATTCGAGTATTTGATTTGTTATGCTATGGATATCATTTAAAAACATTCATTACAATGTTTGTTTGAATTTACTGTAGGAATATCCGAAGGGACTTTCGATGCCGTTATTGTCAACGATAATGCTGATAAAATGGTACAAGAGGTTGTTGATGTGATACGACAAGTGAGTTAGATATTTCTGACAATTTAATTTACTGAAACCCAACAAATTGATTGGTTTATCAAATAAATGATTCAAATAATCGCTGATTGAATTAGACTTTGTTGACTGAATTGTCAATAAATGTACACACAGAAAGCAAGTTAAATAAACTATTGCAATAGAATGAAGTGCTAAAACCTGTACGTAAATGTATTAAAATTAACCATGTAGTAAACGAGAACACAAGCGGGAACAACCAAATGTATTTTAATATCGTAATACAGAATATCTTGGTAAAATCTGTCAATCTTACAGTAAATTCTTCATTTGCAAGATATCCATCAATTGTCTCAGACTTTGTTGTTCCATCTATTCGCTTTGATTTTCTCAACCTTCTGCCATCAGGTATTCCACTTTCGATTGATGATACATACTACTTATATCTGTTAGTATCAGTAGCACATACCATAATGTGATTTCACAAAATGTATTATAGACTCATTATTCTGTGAGCCTAAACAAAATAAGTTATCAAGTCAGAAAAAAATTCCAAAAGAATTGTTTATTGTTGTGCATTGAAAATATATTATCCATCAAAATGAAGTTTGACTTGGATTCTTAATCTAATCAATTATAATTACATTCATATATTCTTAGTAGATGTACATATATTATCAAATGGGGTTTCATATTTAGCGTGATGATTACGCTTGTAAATTTCGTTAGTAAAGTAATGTTATTATTAGAAATAATGTCACCATAACATTTTACTTCGTGCTCTTATCTCACAATAAAAGTTAGCATTGAAGCAGTAACTAATGAATAGCTTAAATCTACTTGTGGACTACAGAAATGAATCCCTGAATTGCAGTTACTTCAATTATCTATGACCTATCAGCCTCGCGCCAGGCGCCTAACCAACTAGACAACTGAGCCTGGAAGCACCCGATACACATTTTGTACTAATAGCGAACTATTCAGCAGTGAGCACCTACGATTTCGGCCTAGAATCCTTGGTCTCGAATGCTAGACCTCTAGATCACAGGCTTAGCATCTAACAGTGTCAATGTCTTATTTCGCATAATCCATGACGTTGCGCGATCATCTTCCATTGTCTTCGGTGAGTAACTGCTACACACTCGACTTGGTTCAACTTTATTGGTCCCGGCTTCTCGCTAGAACTCCGAGACTTACCTGTCAAAATTAGTCAATTGCGTGTACATGCTTAAAAGAAATTGAACGATCCTTAAATCCCTAAAGTGAAAAGTCCGAAATAATATAAATAACTACATGGAATATCACTAAGTGTTGTGTTACATAGAATGGATACTCATAGATTTTGTATAGTTAACAAATCTGTTTCAGTGAATTCAATTATTTATCAGTCTTTAGTTACCACTTGAGTATTTGTCAAATAAGGTTGTAAGTCTACTGACTATCAGTTTCTGCTGAACATGTGAATGTAAGTTGCAACCCAAAATAATTTAGTAGTAGCATCTCCAAATATGAAAAGTGAACGACTCGCTTTTTTATCGCACTGGAAGTATCAACCCTATCCGAACTACAAATACATCTTTCTGACAAATAGAAACTAGCTTAAAACTTACAATACAAGTTTTCCGTTGATTGCATACAATCATATTTAATATTTGAATGAAAACACTAGCTACTTAGTAAATGGTATTTAAATAATATTCAAGTTTTGCTGACTTACTTACCTACGCATGTTACTCCTAATGGAGCATAGGCTGCCAACCAGCATTCTCCAGCCCACTCTGTCTTGGACCTTCTTTTCTAATTCCATCCAATTCTCATTCATTTTTCTCATGTCTGTCTCCATTTCTTGGTGTAATGTGTTCTTTGATCTTCCTCTTCTCCTTTGGTTTTGAGGATTCCAAGTAAGGGCTTTCCTTGTGATGTAGTTGGGTGCTTTCCTCAATTTTTGTCCTATCCACTTCCAGCGCTTCTTCCTAACTTCTTCCTCAGTTGGGATCTGGTTTGTTCTTTCCCACAGTTGGTTGTTGCTATTAGTGTCCGGCCAACGGATCTGAAGTATTTTGCGTAGACAACTGCTAATAAACACCTATATCTTCTGAATGATGGCTTTCGTAGTTCTTCAGGTTTCCACCCCATACAGTAGAACTTTCAAGTTTTGCAACTATCTAAAATCAGATTAAAGTATTAAATACTTTTTAATGAATTACTTACCAAAATAATTACCAACAAGGTTTAAACAAATCGTTCAATGTGTATAATGATAAACAATTGTGAAACGATGGAAAGGGTGGGGGTAGTAACTAAAAAGAAACTATCAGTGATATTCTCTTATTGATTACATTTAATTTACTATCTTTTTTTATTAAAAAAAGATACATCCCTTCTGATATAAAAAAACCATTAGTGTCTAGAAAATTTCATTGATTTACTGACAATATTTATGATCTCATATCATAAATAGAGTAATTTTCAAATTAAGATTTATCATTATCACTGATTAATGCATAATTTATGTGGAATTTAATAAAACAGTAAAACAAAATGAATAATTGAATACAATGTCTATCTTGTAGTTAAATAGAATACAAAAATACTATCACTCAATCAGAAACAATATATTACATTATTAATTGACTTCATAGTTGTAGAATAGAGAAGAGAATTAATTGAGTTACTATATGATAAAAAGAATTAAGAAAGCAAAGAGTAAAAACTTTTAGTTTTTCTGTTAACAACATCATTATCTACTTAAGAGAATTAAGAAATTTATTAACTTCGTATTATCGTTTCTTAGATATTTATATGAATAACTAAGCCAGACTAATATCATAGAATAGAATTAATAAATGAATAAAAGAAAATAATATAATTAAAGTAATATCGAAGCATATGCACAGTATGCATATATACAAATAACAGACTGATCAATTGCAGTCTTAAACCTCAATGAGAAAGTACAAGCCAAAACAATATCAAGTGAATTTAAATTAAGCTAATTACACAAGCAAGTGGCTATCAGGACTCAGTAGTTGAGTGAATAACGCAATGGCGTTTGAAGCGAATGATATTGCGTTCGAGTTCCAGAGTGAACACTAATTCTGAGATTCAGGTACATCCAGCTGACGAGTGCTGTATAGGACGAAACATGCATCCTGGATTCCACTGCTAGCCACTATCTATCATTGCTTATGAAAAGCTTGTGAATTCAGGCAATATCGAGGCATATGCACAGTATGCACATATACCAATAACAGACTGATCAATTGCAGTCTTAACCCTCAATGGGAAGATACAAGCTAAACAATACCAAGTGAATTTAATTACTAGATAATTTTAACATTATAACATTTATTCATATGGCTAGGATTTCATTGATATTAACCATACATTGAAACATAATGATAGATTTAACATAAAGCTCATAATATTGATAGTTAGCATTGAAACTTGATGATAATTATTAGCTAAATATCAATTATAGTTCACCTCAATATGAACCCATTTATATTAGTGGATAAATTAAAATATGAATAATAGAATTTGATTATTACTAAAAAACTAGAGGATAATGATAATTGTTATACTAGTCTGTTATTACTAATTATGATCTAATTTTACTTATTTATTTATTTCAAATAATGAACTTTATTTGTGGTTTTAATTACGTTGCGTTTACTTCTTTCGTTCATTTATATTTCAGAAATTGAGCATTTAATCAGTTTCAGTTTGGAAAGGATAACAGGCTTAATGGCCTGTGTTAGTCCTGACAATGAACCAATTATTATTGACAATGTATCTTATGTTTTATCAAACTGTCTTGAAGAGTGACAGAAAGAGAGTTTATTCTGATTATCTTGTTTGAATTATATCATGTTAAAAAACAATAGACTATTTAATCTGTTTACCCTGTGATGTATTTTTATGAATAAAAATGTAGTTATTTCATAATAATGAAGCATTTTACAACGAACATTTTTCTAATCAAAGCGTTCAACATTTTGCGCTAAACTTAGCATATGACAACAAGATATTCAGACATTAGATTCGTTTAAGCAAACATGGATAATGGCTAGCGATGAAATCCAGAACGTGCATTTCGTCCTATGTAGCACTCGTCAGCTGGATGTATCAGCATCTCAGAATAGATGTTAACTCTGAGACTCGAACTTGGTACCGTTCGCTTCAAACTCCATCACGTTATTCACTCATCTACTGAGTCTTGTCAGTTATTTGCTTGTGCAATGGGGTGAAGTTTAAAAATCCACCCAGTATCCTATTTACATATGTGCATACTATGAGTATTGCAGTCTTAAACATCAATGGGAAGATTCAAGTAAACAAAGTAAATTAGATTTGTCGAGTTGTAATGCATTCCTGATACAATTCTTATTATTTAAGAGGCAATTAGTTTAACAATAGCAGATAAACTTATCTCTGTGCCTGTTGTTTGATTAAGGAAATGTTTGAAATGAGTTCATTGTAATACCATCACGTGATGTTTTTGTTAATATTTAAAAAAAACTGTTATATTATAATCGAACTGAATGAGAATAACATAATAGATGATTCTTGTATAACATAGTAATAACAAACCGTCCATCAATTAGTATAAAGTAATACACCTCTGTTTACATTAAATAATAATATCCCAGTATGTTGTTTCCAGTAGATGAATGATACAAAGAATTTGCCTCAAAAAAACGAATATTTAAGTAAACCAAGTACAATCACTTTAGGAAAGTAATGAGGTATAGGGAATAATTTATTAAAACAATAACTAGAAATACTATAACAAGAATTTGTCATCTGATATTATGTTATATGAAGTAGTTAATTGTGAAATCAATAGTCAGTATACAGTTTAACTGTCCGTATTAGCTCTTAGAATAAATAATTGAGGGTACCTACATGTTGACTACTACACAGATGCCTTGAATTAAGAGACAGATTGGTGGTGATGCCACTTAACTTATAGGAGTTTGGCATTTAAAAAATATCTATCACTTTAATGTATATCCATAAACCATTTGCTTATTAAAGTAACAATGGTAAATGAGTTCAATAAATACAAAACACCGATTTACGTGCGTGCAATGCCAATCTGCCCTAAGAAAGACTTACCACACATGACATTGATCACTAACCAGTAATCAAACAATTGGAAACACATTTCAGTTCTATAGGAGGTTAGTAGCAAGTCGGATAAGTCAGTAGTAACGTCTCTAACTGAGAAGCTGGGTGACACGGGATTGAATCCTCCAGGTAACATCAGTTCCCTCAAGATTTTATGTACAACTTACTGACGAGTGCCAAATGACACAAAACCTATGTCCAGAGTTTCCTGTCAACTACCTCCAACCATCACCTCATATGCGAACATTTCGTAAAGGTTATACAATCAATCAGGAATGAAAAATTAGTTCGAATTTATTGGAATCTTGCGAGAGTTTTAAGCCTAAAGAACTCAAATATAGCGGAACGAAAATTTTTCTTATTTTCTGAGTCAAACTTTCGATGACATCAAGTTGTTTTAACGTTGGTTAAGTTTGTTTGATTATATTTAGTTTCACTTAATAAAATATATCATCACTTAAAAGCTTTGATGTTTGCCAAACAAAAACCCCAAAAACACTTATACTGTTTACTAATTTACACTTTTGATCGAAAAATATCAACAGGCGTGAGCTGTGAGTTCTTCATTTACGATTTCTATGTATAACACTGACTGAATTTATTCAATATGTCATTCAAATGATGTTGGAAATCCATCAGTGAGTTATGAACCTTCATCATTTACATTATGAACTAATTTAATTTGAAAACTGACGAGAACTAGGAAGGATTGGACAGCTGTTCTATCATGGTAGTATTCGATAGTGTGAATCCATGGTCTGATTGATAATTGAACACAGAGCACTCAGAACTCGCTTCAGACACCTAACCTTCATACTATTTAGCAGGCATACATTGGTTTACATTTCTAACTTCAATTGATTCATTATATTGCTCGACCATCATTCATTGCAACTAGTAATATTTGTCTCAGTCGCGATATGGTTGAACTCTATCGGTCATAGATCCACACAAGTACTCTGACAACTAATTATAGAAGGTAGTAAAAGATAGCTGTCTGGTGCATTATGGTTTTCAAGAGTATAACCAAGATCAGTTTGTAATGTAAACAATGAAATCTAGCAACCCACACAATATCCCCTCAGAATAAACATAAAAATTAAAGTTGATCTACTGTAAAAATGTCGTACAACTAATCTTAGATATTAATTGGTTGTAGGTTTTTTACATGTAGCAAGTCAGCTACTAAAGAAAGTTTGTGTAAATTAACAAACGAGTGATACCGCCAAAGTGGGATTGCATGAATACGTTTATGTTTTATATACGTTAGTTTTTAGATGAAATATGTAGAGCAGTAAGATTTGATTAGAATACAATTTTATTTTTATTGCACAAATCGTAAAACTCCTGGAAAATCTATAAGTTCTATAACAATAAATTCTGAAGTTATCAGTCAAGCTAAAAATAATTCAAGTTTAAAGCAAGTCTTGGACAATTTAGCTTTAAATTGATTGTTTCTAAGAAATAATTGCTTTTAGTAAACTCTTGAAAGATGATTATTCATTGTTATATAATTGAATAATGAATCTATATAATTGATGTCAATTCATGATAAAATCTATATTGATTTTCATTTATTTACTCTACAAACAACATTGACCGTATTTCTATCCTTTCAAATAAAGATTATTATATAGTATAATATCTATAATCAGTAAATACACAGGTTTAATACTATGTTATGGAAGCAAAATATAGTTTGCTTTAAAATCTCCACAAACCCCTTGTGATAATAATCATCTGCTCACTAGTGACTGACTTCAAGAGATACTCCTGAAGTTCTAGTGAGAAACTGTTACCAGTGGAGTTTAACCAGGTCGGTTGTGAGTTATCAACTCACTGAAGACAATAGCGTACGGTGGAGCGATTTCGTGGACTAGTTGAAGTTAGACATTAACACAATGGGATGCCGGCTCAGTGGTCTAGTGGTTAAGCGCTCGCGCGTGAAACTGATAAGTCTTGTGTTCGAATCTCGTAGAGGGCACGATCGTGGATGCGCACTACTGAGGAGCCCCATACTAGGACGAAACGGTCGTCCAGTGCTTCCAGGTTTTCCATGGTGATCTACCTTCAATTGACTCATGATTTGAAATTTCACAACTTTATAATATTTTAAAACTGGGCATTTCAGTAAATATACAAAATAAATTCCAAATGGAAATGTTTCTTTATTCCTTTGAATTGATTAGCGAAGATTTCACCTAGAATTTTTGATAAACATTTTATTATAGAATAAAATTTTGAAGAATAAAACTGAATCATAGGTCAAATTTTGTAGCAGTCTAATGACTTACTAACTGAATTGGAAGTTTTAATTGATGAATATATATTTTGAATTCACTCCAACTATTCGATGGTATCCAACTGTTATTGTTTACTTTTAGAAAATATGAGTAGTGACTACTACGAATTCTGTGTGTTGTAAATCCTATGGTGTTTTACTGATACATACATGTCACTTAGTATAACACAACAATAAATGCTCTAATAAAGTTTTAAAAGACTGGAGGTTTCGTTATATACGAACTTAGAAATGTATTCCTCTCAACCATCAATTAGAGAGAAGATGCATGGCAAAAAGAAGAGCTATATTGGAGAAAGATGGTTTACGAAATAAAATAATGAAGAAAGTTTGTAGTCTACTTAATTGTTTCTATTTTATGATCTGTGTAGTTGAGTTCAAAATGTTCACTATCGATCTTGAAAACGTCATCAGCGCAGTTGTATCAAGTCAGTAAAATATGAGATTTCGAAATGGCAACAAAAGTTGTTGCTCCAAGGTATATCATGCATAAACGATAGGTTCTTATGTTAAGGTAATTCTGTTTTAAATCATTATAATCCAATAAGGAAATATTTTTGTTTGAAAACAGTTAATATCTCACTGTCAGTGACTTTTACTGTTCATCTATTCATCACCTTAGGTGCTGAATAAAAACGTTTGCTAGACGCTTTTTAAACAATCTCTTATCCTCCAATATCGTCTTATAACATTTATAGTTATTGCTTTGACCGCTCCTAATAATTCATGAATTAATTTCTTTAATCTAGTTATGAACGATGAAACAAAGCGATGATACACATTTTCAACCCGAAGGCCTCATTCTCACCTCACTTCATTATTTTACAAAACGTCAAACACGTCTAACTAAATAAAGTTTCCATTCCTGATATTTCACGGACTTCACTTTTATAAAAGCATAAATTTTCTAGTCAGAGACGGAGATGTAGCCGTTTTTGACTGATTTGATTTTCCTTAACAGTAAGCATGTATCAATTTAAGCACTATATCATTTCACAATCTACTATAAACTGGACATTTATCGAATAGCATCAACAATAAATATTCCAAATTCATTTGGTATTGTTTAGCTTGTATCTTCTCATTGAGGTATAAGACTGCAATTGATCAGTCTGTTATTGGTATATGTGCATACTGTGCATATGCCTCGATATTGCCTGAATTCACAAGCTTTTCGTAAGCAATGATGGATAGTGGCTAGCAGTGGAATCCAGGATGCATGTTTCGTCCTATACAGCACTCGTCAGCTGGATGTACCTGCATCTCAGAATTGATATTCA